GCACTCTGGGTTAGAGGCGATCACATAAACAAGGTCATGGACACGTGGAACAGGACATTTTGTGTTTGAAAGTATAAGCCAATCAATTTATTAAGAGCATGGCCATGGAGACAGGGAGTGCGGCATGAGTTGAGGCTGAAGAGGGACGCAGGGATGAAGCCGTAAAAGGTCTTGTGGGCCTGGCAAATGAGCTTGGGTGCAATCCTGCAGAAGACTGTAGGGCTTCTGGCAGAATCTAATATAGTTTGTTCACATTTTAGAGACATAACCTTGGCTAAAAGGAGGGCAGTGGCTTTCACTGGGCAAGACTGAAACCTAAGAGGCTGGAAAGGAAGCTACTATATATCACCCGAGATACGATGAGGTCTCAGATCATGGCATGAATAGTAGGGTTGGGGAAGAGAAGACTGGCTCAAGAAACACTTAAGAAGGCAAAGAGATGGAAAATCCCAGGGAGCACGAAGGAAGAGCCTGCTGGCTGCTGACTTGGGTGACTGAACAGGTGGTGTTGCCTTCAACTAAGACTTGGAAGACAGGGAGAGAAGTGGGTACTAGTGAGAGGGGGTGATGAATCACTTCTGATTTTGTTGAGTTGATGATACTTAAAGTGACATCCAGATGGGTGCTTCCAGTAGGTACCTGGAATCAAACTCAGGCGAAAGACTGGAGGTATGAATTTGGGAGACATCAGTAAAGAGATGGGGTTAAAAAAAAAAAAAAAGAGGGAGTGGATGATCTCAGCTATGGAGATCAGGTCAAGAGAAAAGAGGGAAAATCCATAAACAGAATCCCTGGGGAACAGCCATGCTCAGGAAGTAGACGGAAGAGGAGACACCCAGAGGGAAACTAAACACAGCCAGAAAGTTGGAATCCAGGGGGTCAGAGGCTATCGAGGAAGAAGTTGCCCCCATGTCAAAGGCAGCTAAGAGATCAAAGAATATCAAGACAGAAAGGTGTCCACTGGCCCTGGCAAAATGGAGGTCACTGTGGTGGTCTTTCAGGGTCTTGGCAGGAGCAAGCTGGCATTCTTAAGCTTAGAAACTTCAGGAGAATTTAATAAAGGGTTTTGACAACAGTGGGCATGATGTAGGGAAAGCCTCGAGGAGGATGCAGTGCCCTGAGAGTGATAACTGGGAGAACTGAGTGGAGAGAGCTGTCTGACAGGCTTGTGAAGTGGGCAGAGGGGCAAAGCAAACCTGCTGAGACCCCACAGGTAGGGAGCGGGGGAGATAATCCCTGGCCTCACTTCCCCTTCTCATCTCCAACCGAGGCTCCCTATTTGGAAAACCCAACTGTAGGCAAGTGAGGCAGAAGTTTGATGCAGGTCCTCCAGGTCAGCCTCTGGAGGAGGGTTGGACAGTGGACATGGAGGGACAGCGAGGAGATGCCCAGCTTGGAGGCCTCCCCAGAGCTCTTCAGTGGAGCAATGGAAGAGACCCGAGGGCCTCCAGTGGGGGAACATGTGGAGAATGCTTGTCTTGATGCCAGCATCCTCTGAGCGCTCTTCCATGCATGGCCAGTTTCTCACCCACAAGGCAGAAGCCTCTCTTTCCCAGCCTCCCTTGCAGCTGGGGTACCATCCTGTGATGCGGGCTCCAGCACTCGGCCAGACCAGAGAGCCGCTGGATGGGGGAGGGAATGAGGGGTGGAAACAGAGGCCATGTGGAATCCATTTTCAGCTGAGGAAGTCTTTGGGGGTCAAACTTTGGGGCATAGCACCTGGGGCTAGCAGAGGCTCCCACGTAGACAATGCTGGGCTGTGGGCACTGCTCCCCACGTGCAGGATCCAGGTCTTCTCTGACCTTCCTCAAGCTTCTGGAAGATCCATAGGACCCCTTCATTTATTTCTTTTCAGCTTAAACTAGCTAGAGTGTGTTTTATTACTTGTTACTAGAATGCTGATTGATGAGCAGGGAGTGGGAAGTGAGGACACGGGCACAAGAAGGCAGATGAAGCTTTTAAGGAAAAGAGGGAAAGGAAAGAAAGAGGCTAGAGTGTTGGGTTAAGGAAGAATACTTTTAGGAAAGGAGAGTACTGAGCAGATTTATGCGCTGAGAGACTCAGAGAAAAGCAGAGTTATTGCCATTCCCACCTTAGAGCTAAGGAAACTGTGGTCCAGAGAGGTTAATTACCTTCTCAAGGCCACACCGACAATAAATAAGGGCACAGCAATTCCAGACCTGCTGCCTTGAAAACTTCCTACTGTAAGCATCTTCTGTAACAGCCACCCAGGCAACCCCACCCAAGGTGGATTTCCTTAGAAGTTTACAAGTCATACTTGAAGCCCAATCTGAAAGAACAGAAAGGCCCCTAGGGACAGAGGGCAGAGTGAGCTGGTTGGCTAGTCAGAGTGGAAGGGACACCAGTTCATAGTAAGTGAGTCACGCTGGCTTCAGAGGGGAGACCCAGTCGTGTATGGTGCTTGATTCATCCCCCAAGATGCCTCATCTTGGAGTCAAATCTTTGTTTCCAAATAGCTGTTGGGCTCTATGAGTTGCCATTTTGAAAGGGGCTCCTAGAGAGAAGCAGGAAGGAAAAGGTTCTGGAGCAAACCCTCACCAATCCCTTGGGAAGTGAGCATTCCTGACACGGAGGAAACTCCTGAAAGTGCCTGGATGGCCTCATCAAAGCCAGCTCTTGCATATGTGGCATGTCAATGTGTGTTCAAGGAGAGGAAAGGCAGGAAGGTTAGGATGCATAAATGCATAGAGAGATTCAGGATTTTCACTTAGAGAATCTAGAAGTCAGGACAGTTTACAGAGCATATGTGTTAGGGTTGCATTTGTGCCCTTATGCATGGAGGGGTTTTGGAGATGTTGGCAGGAGTCACTCACCCTGGAGGTTTGGGCCTCTGGGCAGGGCCCGCTCATGCATGCGTGCGATTTGGTCCACATATATGAAGGTTTTGTCTTACAAGGTTGGCATCTACTCCCCACAAGCCTCAGAGAGACCAGTTTATAGAGAGAGCCTGTTTCTCTATCAAAACTAAGGAGCTAATTTCTCAGCTGTTTTTCAACTGACCATTATCAATAAAGCCTGGAAATCTGGTTATTTTAAAGCAGCATATAAAGCTTTTTGCTAGGTGAACACACTTGAGTTTAATTTCAGTAATATTTTCATGAACAACCTATAATTAAAGCATCTAATAAAGATCAGTAATTCACTTAGCTGGATTTGTGTTTAAAAAAAAAAAACAGAAAAAAGAAAAAAAATGCAGTCATGGAAGTCAAATTCCATTCTTCTGTTAAATGAACATTATGGTTTTTCTGGGTATCTTAATTGAACCTCATTTTTTAACAGGAATATTAAACAAATTAAATTAAGTAAGCAATTTCCCTTTTTAGGATTAAAAAAAAAAAGCCATTGAATGGAAAAGCTCCTCTAAAACACCCATTAGTGGGAGGCACTGGGGCAACAGTGTGGGCACACGCTGTGGGATGGGATCATTTGCTTCAATTTATCAGTGCAGAAGCTCCACCCCTGGGAAGTCAGTATTTGAAGCCAGGTCTGCCAGGCTCCAAGGCAGGGCTGTTAGACTGGGTCCCTCAAGAGGTGAGGAACGCAGGAGCCACACCCGTAGCACATTAGATCCACAGGCTGGTGGGGAGCCTCGTCTCAACAGGAGAAGGGCCCGGGGACCCAGTGTTCATGGCTGGACCTCCACACCCCAGACCTGCAGGGATCCTTGCCTCCCTTCACCCCAGTCTCTGACTGTGGTTTGCAAAGTCTTAGATCCAGGGCAGGGTCAAGGAAAGTAAGTATAATGGAGTAAGAGGCTCCTTTGGGGTGAAGGCACTGTCTCTGCCTTGGTGGGGGATGGAGGGGGGTGCGTCTCCAGTCTAAAGGAGAAAATACAGTTCCAACCCTTGAAGAGTCCCTGATCTGACAGAAAAATGCAGCCCCTGTTTATTCACTCCGCAAACATTAATCAAGCACCTACTGTATACTTGATATATATCAGTGGACAAGCAAGAATGATCCCTGCTTTCTTGGAGGGAGATAGACAATAATTAATACATTATAATAAATAAATTTTCTAGTGGATTAGAGGCTGAAAAATACCATGGGAAAAGAGAAAAATTCGACAGTCGAAGGTAGATGGGGCGGAACAGAGAAGGTATCTCAACTGTAGATGAAATAGACAGGGTCGGCCCCATGGAGTACAGTGGTGTGGGACAAGCCATGTGGAAACCTGGGGAAAGACCTCTCAAGCAAGGGGAACAGACTGTGCAAAGTCCTGGAGAAGGGAATGGGCTTGATATGTCTGAGGATGGCAAGGAGGCTGCTGATTTCGGGGCAGGGCGAGTGGAAGGGACGAGCGCTGGGAGAGGAGGGCCAGGAGGTGATGGGGACCCTCTCACGCAGGTCCCCACAGGCCACTGTGATGACTCTGGCTTCCCCACTGAGGGAAATGGGGAGTCATGGCAGGATTTTGAGCAGAAAAGAGGTTGAACTTTTAACAGGATCCCTCCCACCATTGTGTCAAGAAGAGACTGTGGGGCGAGGAGCAAGTGGAGAGGCCTGAGAGGTGAGAAAGCAAAGAGCGATGAAGCACCCCTGACCAGTGAAGGCAGAGTGGCTGGTAAGAAGGGACCCACCGAGTCTGCGAGCGGCTTGAAGGATTTGCCAATAGGTTGGATGTGGCCTGGGAGAGGAAGGCAGCATCTCCGCGAACTGAGGAGTATGGCTACTGACCCCTCTGCACCCAAGGCTCCCTCTCTGCACAATCACACAGAACAACAACACACAGGGCTCCTGAAGCCACGAACGCAGAGTCAGAGGGTCAGAGGCAGGAGCCGGCCAGCCCTGGCCCACCGCACCCCACCCCGGGAAAGGCATCTTAGCGAGAGTCCACCCCGAGCCCTACACCCACAGATACCTCTTAGAGCAACACCGCCGTCGCATGAACAGCCCCCGGGAAAGCGCAGTAACTCAATTCAACTGCACCGCTCCATAATCTCATGTCAACCTCACAGCTGATGATTGCTGTTTTATCACAGACTTGTAAAGTCCCCACATTGCCATGAATCACGGACACTCCGCCAGCGAGAGCCAGAAAATGCGGCCAACTCCAGAGAGTGCCGGCTTGACAAGCAGCTGCTGCAGTTCGCCTGAGGTCACCTTTCTCCACTGCAAGGGTCTTCCACCTGCTCGCTCTGGAAATCAGGGAACAAGTCTGAATGACTCCACTTCCAGGGATGGAGTCTCCTGCTCCGTTCTGCTGGAAGAATATCAAATGCCTAGTGTCCTCTGGTGTAACAGATTAAATGGCTGACAGCATGGTATAGAGGGAAGTACCTGGGGTTTTGAGTGCAAAGACATTTAACTCCTGTGTCTGCTCTTTACTCGTTGTATGACCTTGGGTGAACCGTTGAAGGCATCCTAACCTCAGCATTGTCATCTGTAAAAAGGTATCGTGAAGCTTAAATGAAATAATGTCTGTAACACACTTTGAAAACAGTAAATCGCTGGACATTTAATAGCAGTAGCTATTAGGTCACGACCCAGACTACCAAGACCCAAACCAGGCAGACACCTCGAACCAGGGAGGCCAGAATTGAGGCAGGGCAGTGGGTTACAGCCAGCACAAGGACAGCTGGCATTGCAAAGTGAGGAAGAAAGAGAAAGAGAGATTTGTTTTAAGGAATTGGCTCACATGATTATGGAAGTTGGCATTTTCAACATCTGCAGGGTAGGCCCTCAGGATGGAGATTAAGTTTCAGTCTGAAGGCCTTCCACTGGCTGAATTCCTTCCTGCTCTGGTGTTCAGGGAAAAGCAGTCTTTGCCTTTATCTGATTGGATGAGGCTCACCCACACTACAGAGAACAATTTGCCTTACTCAGAGTCTACTAAGTTACTTCTTAATCTCATCCAAAGAAAATACCCTCACAGAGACAGGCAGAATATCTGACCAATATCAGGTGTTTGGTCCAGCCAACCTAACACATAATCTTAGCCATCATAGACCTTACACAAACTCTAGTATATGAAGTAGATAAGAGAGAACCCATCAGAGTTGAAGAGGGAGAGGAGCACCAGAGCCCACCAACTCTGCAGCCCCTTGTCTTCTGTGATGACCACAGAGACTCCAAAGAACCCAGTTTGTAAAACCACTGGTCTAGCTTCCATTAGGTATGGCTTCCACTCAAGACGTAAGGTAACCAAAGTGCACACAGGTAGTTTATGCTAGCTTCGCCATGTTATAGCTCTGGCTCAACTGCAGACTCCTTGAGTATCCAACCCATTTGCCTCTGCAGGCCCAGCTCATAGCAATGGGCAGGCACATGGGAGGTAGACAATCAGTGTATATGCTGAATGAATGGGTGAATGGATGAATGCAGAGACAAAGACCATTCAGAATCTGGAAATCCAAACCGAGAAAGAAGTTCCACCCAAGAGGACAGAATCAGTGGCAGGGCCTCGGAACTAAAGCCTCCCTCCTCCCTGCCACAGGTGGGACCAGTGACTGAACCCTAGAGGAGGCCCCAGGTGCTGAGACGCTACCATTTGCACCCTGAAAACAAAACAACAAAAGCCTCCTTGGCTTTCAAATGTACCCCACAAATGTTCTTGCAGCACACTCACTGTAGGCTGCTAGTAAAATGAGTCTGCATCCTGGGAACACGTTCAGAGTGATGAGAGAAGGCAAATCGCCCAGAGAAGCTACTGCAGAAGGAGAAAAGAGACATTACCCCAGGGTGGCAGAGTCTAACAAGTGGGAGAACCAGGACTTATTTGCTGAATAAAAACCAAATGCAGGATAATTGTCAGTTTTACAGGTGTGCTTTCTTGCCAGCCACTGGTCTGAGGGTCTTGGGACACAAGGCAGGACATGTGGCCTGAAGGAAAAAGTTGTTTGTACACTGAGTGAGGCCTAGAAGCTGCCTCTGGGTGGAGGGGGGCCTCCTGATACCTGGTAATCAATCAGAGACAGAGGTTGGCATCAGCCCTGGCTCCATCGCTGCAGTCTCCGGAGGCTGAGAAATTTCCTGCCGGCTGTCAGCACAGCTGCTCGGGGGCCCCAAGGTGCGGCAGGTATAGGGAGAGGGCGACTGCCAAGGCAGAGGAGGAACAATAAGCAGAGGAAAAAATAATGACAAAGGAACATTTCGGCAACTCTCATCTCCCTCTGCCTGATGTTAGGAGACTTTCCTTTAAGGAGTCTAAGATCATTGAGGGAGGGGCACCTTCCTACAGGGTTGCAGTTCTATTTCTGAGCAAGACAAACAAGCCTATCTCTGTCCTACCTCTGGACAGGGACACTCAGTCCTGGTGGCCTGTTACAATCACCAGGGGCCTTTTAAAAAGCCCTGATGCTTGGGCCCTGATCCTGGTACCATCTTATTCAGTTGATTGGGGGAGGAGCCCAAGGGTTGGCGTTTTTTCAAGTGACCCATACAATTCTATTGTGCATCCAGGTTAGAGAATCTCTGCTTTAGAGCTCTAGGCCTTCTGCCCCCGCCACTAAAACCTGCCCCTCCACACCCTCTCCCTGACCTCCAGATGCACAAAGGCACCATTGGCCACATCCCTACCAGCCAGGACTTTTCACGATGGCCTGCATTTATTCATGCTTCTTCAGAGCTCCAGACTTCCCACTTCCCCATCTTTGTTTCACAAATTCTTCTCCATCCTTCAGACCCTAGCCTCATGCCATCTCCTCTCTAAAGCCTTCCCTGATTTCTGCAGACCAAACTAGCCGGTGTGCCTCTGAACCCCACTCCCACTTCTGTGCTGCTTCCTCTATGAGTGTGTCTGCCACCTGGAACTTCATCATCTCGATTCATCTGACTCTCAGTTAAACACAAAGTTTTTTGAGGACAGGAATGATCATGAATTAGCATACATTAACATATGTAGATGGTTGCTATTCAGTCATTCAGTTGTGTCCAACTCTATGTGATCCCATGGACTGCAGCACACCAGGCTTCCCTGTCCTTCACCGCCTCCGGGAGATTGCTCAAACTCATGTCCACTGAGTCAGTGATGCCATCTAGCCATCTCATCCTCTGTCACTCCCTTGTCCTCCTGCCCTCAATCTTTCCCAGCATCAGGGTCTATTCCAATGAGTCAGATCTTTGCCTCAGATGGCCAAAGTATTGGAGCTTCAGCTTCAGCATCAGTCTTTCCAATGAATACTCAAGGCTGATTCCTTTAGGATTGACTGGTTTGATCTCCTTGCTGTCCAAGGGACTCTCAAGAGCCTTTTCCAACATCATCATTTGAAAGCATCAGTTCTTTGCTGCTCAGCCTTTTCTTTATGGTCCAGCTCTCACATCCGTACATGACTACTGGAAAAACCATGACTTTAACTATTAGGACCTTTGTTGGCAAACTAATGTCTCTGCTTTTTAATATGCTGTCTAAATTTGTTGTAGGTTATCTTCCGAGGAGCAAGCATCTTTTGATCTCATGACTGCAGTCACCATCTGCAGTGATTTTGGAGCCCAAGAAAATAAAGTCTTTCACTGTTTCCACTGTTTCCCCATCTATTTGCCATGAAGTGATGGGACCAGATGCCATGATCCTAGTTTTTTGAATGTTTAAACCAACTATGTAGATGTTCTAATATAATTTATATAATTTAACATTAAAATATGTGTATATTTTAATATATTCTATTTACTTACTGCTTTATTTCGTGTCTCCTATATGATGGATGACCTGAAGCCCAGGAATGTGATGTTATATAAGGCTACTGTCTTTCTTTTATATTCCCTATAGCACATCTGCCGCAAGGAAGTTCAATAAATTTCTGTGGAATGAGTGAACAACTTTCTGACTGGGGAAAAACGAGACAAGATAGCATGTGAATCAAGGTGTGGTGCAGACAATGCCATGTGTGCCCATTTCCCAGCGCCCCTGTGTAGTTAGGTTGGGTGGGTCCACGGGATGTGGCGGAAGTGATGTAAGCCACTTTCAGGCCTGGCCTGTGACACAGCCTGTGTGATTCTACACTTCTCTCTGCTTCTGCTCAGTGACCCCGGGGGGCGGGGCACTGACACAGCCATGGGACACATAAGGGCTGTTCCTACTCTCAGGAGTCTGAAAAGAGAGTGAGAAGGAAACCTTTTGTGCTTGACCTACAAGATTTGTGAATCAGTGTGTTACAGGAACAAAGTCTAGTTTATCCTGACTAATGTGGGATGATTTTGGCTACCAATAACAGCTCATGACTAAAAACTAGATAAAAATAGGAGTTTACTCCTTTTGTAATAAAACTTTCAGAGGTAGGTGGTTCCTGGGGTTGAGCAGGAGCTTGCCCACATTCAGAGGGACTCAGACCATTCCCATCCATCAGCCTGCCACCTTCAAGGAATCCACCACCCCTCCGCTCACACTGGCAAGCTGGCTTCCACAATTGCTATTATCATATCCTTACATCACAGCACAGTGTCCTAAGCAGTAAACAAAAGGAAGAGGCAAAAGCACCCTCTCCTCATCTTTCCTTTTTTAGGAGAGAGCAAGGATTTTCCCAGAAGCCCCAGCAGACTTTTCTTGATACCTCATTGGCCAGAACAAGGTCACCTGACCAACTCTGGCTGCAAGAACTGAGAGGAAAGAATGAAGTATTTCCCTATTTTATCTCAGGAAGTGGTCTGTGCCAGGTGGGAACGGCTGGGTGTCTCTGCCTCCACACCAAGCCTGGGGAGAGAGAAACTGTCTGAAGGAGCCAAACCAAAGGTGGGATGTTCACCTGCTTAGCATTAACTATGGCACATCCCGTGCAAGAACCTAATTAGTAATTGTAATTTATACCTGAGATTGTGATTTGGGGAGAGCACCAGGGGACTCATTGCTGCCTCTGAGAGGCAAGATACAAAGGCAGGATCATTTGTTTTATTTCTTCCTTCAAAAGATTCTTATGAGGCATGTCTTTTATGGCTACATACTCATTATATTTCAAATGCATTCAAGTATCCTTGATGTATTGCTAAGAGTCTGGATGGAGTTTTTTTTCCCCTCCAAAGCACTTGTGTACTTGTAGGTAAAACTGGGCAAGCTCAAGGCGTAGTGGGCTTTGCTCTCTTACAGGAAGTCTGGGTTGGGGAAACTCCTGTGACTATAGTAGCACTGATAAACCCTGTGGGCCAGGCCATTGGCACGTGGGCTA